TGATTTCGGTTCTTCTTCCCCTCTTCTCCAGTCATCTCACTGGAGGAGAACGAAAGATAGAGAAAGACGAGAGAGCCGAGCCGGTCGTCGTTCTGCTCCTTTGCGAGTCGTGTCTCAACTTTCACTCTGATCTGTTACGCCTCGACAATATCCCGCTTCGTCCCTCCCACTCTCTTCACCCACCATCGTGTCGATCCTGTTCTGATTCCTGTTGCGAGGGTACAAGGTAACGAGACGTATAAACGCCATACGAACCGGTCACCGATAGGCCAATAGGGGCTAGCTGTCACTGGCTCCATGATATGACGTCATGGACATGGTGCAATCGATAGCGAGACGAAAGGGATGCAGGTGTGCAATGGGATGCATCGAGACGAGGGACATGAAAACGAGTTATCGGGCGTTTGGGATTGTTAGAGAGCTACCCGACCATCGAACTGCAGATTTTTTATGCATACTTTTATGGAAAATAGATAATAGTAGTGTGTACAATAAATAGATGTTTGTATATAAAAATATATTATTTGTCATGCATGACGAAAATAGTATGCGTGCACAAAATTCGTTGTGTTCTTACGTATAAAGCAAATAGATCGTTTTCTCGATTTAATGGATTCGATTAAAGGAGAAACTCCTTACAGTAACTGAAGTGATACGCGAGTACTCGGAATTGATTCCACCAAAATGGAAACAATGCCCCCCTTGTCCGTCAACAGCCGAGTCGTCTTAGAATTTTGGCACGGTTCCTCTGCCTTTTCAATGGCAAATACAGCTTCCTGGTATTTTACTGTTACATATTCTCTCCTTATTGAACTAGTTTTGGTTTCGGTGAATGACTTCTTCTATGTTAAACTGACTCGAAATCATAGTCACTGATTAATGAGTGGAATACATCGCATTTACTGTGGAGTCCATAAATATTCGTACACATTTCAAAATTCAATAACTCCTTAATGAATTAATTTTTATAACATTACAAATAATTAATTTGTAAGTCCAATATTAAAAAAATTATTCAATTTTGAAATGACTACGAATGTTTAAGGACGTCACTGTATATAATATAACAATTCCACAAAATACTGTAACAAAAGGGGCATTTATAATCTGCACAGGCTAAACGCTACAGGTTACAGCTTCTTGTAAGCTTAAGCATACAAGGCGAGGTAGTAAATTTCACGATGGAGGGAAAAAACACGAGGTACGAAAGGTAGCAAGAAGCGAAAGAAAAAATTATCGCTCTGAGGCAGTCTTAACTTGGAGTTAAAAATATAACCAATTAAAGACCCACACAAAGCTGAATATAAGGGCTAACGTATTCTGGCTTGACAAGTCCGAGATGAAACGGGCTCGTCGACTTTCTCCATTTGTTTTCTCTTGAATGCGAAACACCTTTTTAATCGATGTATTCTTTTTTCCAGCTCTATTAAAAAATTTCTCAAATCGTTATTTATGAGTCTAGATTTAAAATATTTCCCATTTATATAAGATCATACGAAAAAGCTATAATTAAATATAGCTATAACTAATAATAAAATATTTTTATAATACAAATATAACTAAAATGAAAATTGTTATACTGTAATCTAATTTATCTAATAAAATCTATTTCCTAAAGCAAATTCGTTTAATTAGTTTGCAGTTTACATAATTGATATCCAATCGGATTCACTTCTAACTTGAGTAAATCAGTCAGAAACGAATCTTTCAATGTTACGTAGATATCTACTGGCCGATTCCTTTTTCATTCGAGCATCAGTTTTCGTTCACAGTATTATTGTCTGTTCGTACGCATACCGAGACACGTGGGACGATCAAGATTTAAGGCCGGTTTCGAGGATTTAAGATCTAGTCACGGTGTGTTACGAACATAATTTATTTTTACGAAATGTTATAAAACTTGACAAGGACCAAAAATGAAGAAGTTGGAAAGCAAGTCTGCGGAAGAAGATAAATTTCTTGGCAGAAAAAAAATAATAATTCTTATGAATCACTCGTTCTCTCTATTGTTTGAATTTGCGATGAGATTAAAAACACATGGAAACGGGAATGGTTCAATGAACATAATCTTGTATTAGAAATTTAAAAAAAAAAATCAATGAGCATTCGGCGGAAAATATCTAAGATAAGTGCCGTCGAGACTTATATTAGCTGATATAAAAGATTCAACAAAACTGTGTTCAGTAACTATCAAGCTTTATCGAATACAATACATACATAAAGGAAAGCTATGAATATGTCAGACTGCGAGTCCTGTGAGTTTAAGGGTCAATCGATAACGAATCTAAATATTGACTTTGTCTTTTATCAGCATGCGCAATCCTTAAGCACCCGGCCGATCGTAATTCTCCGTCTATCTCGTGTATACACAGGAAAAATCGTAAAACCCAGATCACTAAAAATGAGGTCACCAATGCAAACAGACACGCTTCTAAACTTTATGTTACAACGAAACTGGACCTTTATATAATAACAATTAATAGACGATGAATAAGTTATGATATTAGTGAAAAATATGTACAATTGAAAGAACTGATGTTCTTCTCTCTCTGTCTCTCTCTCCCCCCTCTCTCTGGGTCTAAAGGTTAACAACACCAGTCGTTCGTTTCGAAGTTTGTGTTGTGGGTACGATGAAGAAATTTAACGACCCATCGAATACGGCGAGGGAGATTAACGAGACTTGAAAATGCGTTCGGTATATACATACGTATGTATGCACGTCCTGGCTTGAGATCGATTGTCGTACTGCGACACTAGTGTAAGAGAGTTGGCACAACCGAGGGTTGCCGTTCTCAGCTCGGCCATGAGATCAAACTCCGGACCAGCGAGATCTTCCAAGATTCTCTCAAGTATAAACTTTCATTGAGTTTAGGTGCAATCGCGTACGCTATAGGTCTTCTCAAACTGCTCCCAATTAGCTCAAACGGGCATGGAAGTTAAATATTAATGATAATTGATTTCATTAGATCTTTACCTTTTTTGCTTTAAATCTTTACATTAAATTAAATAAATAGAAATAACTAAAGATTGCTTTTACTAACGACTCAATGTCAATAATCACATTCTTTCCTTCGACCGTCTCATAAAATGAAAGTATCTGTGCCACAATAAATTGTCTAAGGTATCGATAAAATGTGGAACCTTGATAGTAAAAAAGGAAATATTTCATAGATAATTTATGAGCCGTGGCTAAACAACGTAAATAACGCGTATGACGTCAAAAAAGCGTGCAAACTTTAATAACAATAAATATCTTTCGAAGAGTAAGTTATGTGTCTTCCTATAGTGCAAAAATTTTATTAAAGTACTGAATTACTTGCGTCGTCGTAAATAAACTAAGCGTCGTCTATGCACTATATTATTCTTTATTTTCTTTAAAACCGTCACCTCAAAGAGTTAACAAACAGGCCCGTCTTAATTTCATATTCCATGTGATTACTACGTCTCGACTTTCAAATCTCTGCGGCGATTAGTAAAATTTTTAAATCTCCCAAAAAAAATGGAAACAACCAAACCGATAAAATCGTTTTACGCGTTCAGCTTGCAAAACACGGATTGCGGTTGCAGACACTTCCCATTCTGTATGAGTATGATTAGATTTATTGAAACATTTTCTCTTCGCTTAATTGCAGTATAAAGTTAGTAAGATGCCAGCACGGAACAACGCACGAGATGAACGCTATTAAATGTATAGTCATTTTACATTTCTAGCGAGAATCTCTTCCGCGAAAGATACCACGATGTTTAGTCTATTTCTCAATTTCAAAATGAAATTTCTCAAGTAAAGCCTAAAAGCATGTAATAACTATTCGTTAAGTATTCGACGATTGTAAAATTCCTTTTTATTAGTTTTAAAACTTCGATACACTGCACTAACGTCACAGTACGTGTACGAAAATGCAACACTTTTACTCAAGTTTTAACGTGTCTGTTCATTTAATATTCTTAGCATAAAAGATAACTCCCTTTTTTTACAATTTGCCAGTAACATGAGTAAGCGAGTAAAAAACAGTAGCGAACACTCGTTACACTCAGAACGCACCTCGCATACCACGCCAAGTACCTTACGATTACATGCTGTAATTACGCACAATTTCGATCTCTTATGTTGCTAAAAGCACTACCAGTGTTATGCACACACGGACATACCAATTGTATATCCGTCTCTTAAGTGTATACACAATATTCACTTCGATGGAGAGGCACATTAAGACACATGTATGTAAGAAATAACAAAAACCGAACCCTACTTATTAAGTTCGCTCCTTGATCTGAAAAGGCATCTCTTTTTATAATATCGTTTAGCTTGCATTTTATCGCCAATGTATGATTACAGTGTAATTTTGTCCTTTGCTCTGTCGCCGGTAAATTATATAGAATTAAAGTCTTTTTAACAATTTTTTAGAGCTCGTACTTTTAATTATTTCCTTCCACTATTATTGTGTAAAAACTGACATGTCCTTTGTTCCTTGTAGAAGTTTGTTTGTTATTATAACCAACGAACGATAATATAACAGAGAATAAAAAAAGATAGCGCCTTTCCACGACTTAATTTCCGTTGGTTCCGGTGATATCGTATTCTCCCAACGAATTCGCGGAACTGATAAATACTACATTAAATGTTATCGCGACCATGGTAAAAGTTTTCCCGTACGAGAATAAAAGATCTAACTTACCGCGTATTTGTCTTTCTCTTTCACTCTCTCTTTGCATCAACTTACTACGTTCTGAAACTGCATATTACTAGCACACACGTGTGAAAATCTTGCCCAACGTTTGTTCCCTTTCCTTCGACTATACTCATTAGTAGCTTTCTGGACCGAACTGTTTAAACGATAAAAGACATCCCGCCCGCACAATACAACGAAAGAAATCAAGGACTGTTACACGCTCCTTCTCCAGAAGGGTTTGTACGTGTTCGCGACACCGTAGAACCGGTAAATCAGAAAAAGAATACGCGATGATTCTCATGAGAGATAAGGAGATGCTTGACTACTTACCATGCAGAAGAACTTCACGTCGGCGGCGTTACGCCCGCGCACGAAAACAATCTAGAGATGTACACCAAAAAAATCCGCAAGCGTATGTTGTGCTCTTGTTTGGCAGGAAATGTCCCTTTGGAAACCAATGTTCTTTCGTTTGCCTCGGTCTGGTCACGTTTGTGGATACGAACGGACAACCGGCGAAAAGAAAAACCTCACACGCGTGGTTCTGCAGTGGAGAGTACGAAAAAAAAACGTTACGAGACGAATCGAAGACGAGTGTAAGGTACACACACAACCAACCGCACGGCGCGCGGGTTCAGCGGCCGACTGAAAGGATGCAGTCGCCTTTGGTCCGCCATGGTCCGCTCACGGACCCCTGTGCCCTGTGGCCCCTCGTGGTTCGGCCAATCTCCCCACCATACCGCAATACAGAGACAAAGCAGCTGCGCGCGCACCTACACCCTCTCCACTATTCTCTCTTTCCTCTTTTCCCTACTCTACCACCCTTAGGCTTGATTCATCATGCCCCATACTTGGTCGTACACACATGCGTAACGTCTAGCGATAGGATCGATTCAGGACGAATTCAATATTATGGAGTTGTTCAAATCAATGTTACGCTTGAGACATTCGAGTGCAATGAAAACTCGTTGTATCGTTAATAATGTTCCATTTTTGTTCTCCTCTAACTTCTTTAACAATTATAACGTTTTATTTCTTGCTATTAATTATATAAGTTTCCCATACTTTCGTTTTAGTTTGAAATAAAATATGGTCAGAATATAACAATAGCAAAATTGATAATTTATAATAAGGAATCTATAAAAATAGATGTTTTACGTACAATATATATAATTAACATGGGATAATAAGAACTGTTTCATTGTACTTAGCTTTTATAATTTTGTAAATCGTAAATATTTGTTTGTTACATTTGAATGTGATTAAACCTTTACATTGAAAAATTAAAATCATAAAATTAGTTAAAGATAATAACGTCAATACCTTCAAATGACTCATCCAAATTTGAATGCTTCCTAAAGTGTTACTTCTGGTATTTATTACTGTGTTTCATATTCATGTCGTTTGTCGGAGCATTACAAATGGATCAGGAGGGTATTGCTCCCATCGCTAATAAAGCGACGTACACATCACTACGCAGGAGTGCTTAATCGACACTTGGCCACGCTACCGCTTATCCCCTCTGCCGCCTACTTGCAGGCTCGTCATAGGTCCTGTTTACACCCCGCGTGAAGGAGACTGTTACCGGTCTGGTAGCTTATGTGATGTAGAAAAAAGTATATGCCAGCATTGCCAGCCGATCCTATTGCACTGATGGAATCGAGGTAACCGCGTTGCAATTCGACGGTTCAGTACCAATGGTAGCAAGGAACGTGAACAGGATGACGACCTTCTATACATATACATTCTGATAACATATTTATAGTTGCGTAATGGGAAACATACTTCCAACACAAATTTTTTGCATACCAAAGATATGATGTAAATCTCTTCTCTTATTAACAGATTTGATTTAAATGATCAAAATACAGCTGCATATTACATATACATAGATATATACACTATTCGGCTATTCGATTGATGCAATATTAAACTAAAGTTATATTTATCTAGAATACGACTGCAAATATTCGCAATAATAATGTTATTTCGAAGTATGCATATCATATTATCATGCATATGTTTTACCTTATTTGTATAACGTAAACGAATGATTATCAGTGCTCTTGACACCAATTATTGCGGCCACATCCTACTACAAAGGGACAATTATTATACCTCGTTTCCTAATAGTAATGCACCGGATATAGTGCTTGAGTATCAATAGTTAGGTGCGAGCATCAAGGGGTCTGTAAATTAGAGCTTCGATACACGTACATTGAACATTATCATAGGACTTTGCATACAATCATAATCAATTTTAAAAGTAATAGCAGTATAAAAGTAATAGTTTACAGACCTTTAAAATTGCTCGTAATACACTACATTCACCTAAAATCTAAATGTGTAAATTTCTTAATCATCTGTTTAATCAAAAATATATGTATATGCCCGTTTTTAATCCGCTTTTAAGTTTACTGTTGGAAATGTTATAATAATCATGATAAATTCCTAAAGTTACAAAAAAACACACTTTATAAAGCATTTCACGATTAGTCAAATTTCTTAAATACAAAAAAGTATAATTACATTTTTCACGTCTACGTATACACAATAATTTATGTTGTAAAACTAATTTAAGTAACATTTACCTATCCAAAAAATGAATTTAATTATTTATGTATTTATGTCAGTATTAGTAAATACTACATCCACCTGATGGCTCGTATACACGTACATTTAAGAGTAGGCTGTGATTTAGCTTATGTGTGATGAATTATGTATGTAGAGTTGACGGCTACGAGAAGCCGTCGGCAGGACTCCACAACTGCTAGTACTCTAATGTCGTCCGTGCGTTTAGGGATTAATAAGAGTAAATAAATTGAATTGAAAACCTGAACTGCATTTTATTTTCTTTAATTAAGAGAAAAATAAACACGTACGCCCTGGTTGGTTTCTCGGACAGAAGACGAAAGGCCCGCGATCATTTGAATAAAGTACGATCGCGAACGATTGAAAATCGCAGGCGAAAGACGATCGCGGCAGTTATGCCAACTGTGCAGTTGGTAACTAGCACGGAGAGCTAGGAACCTGTGGCGAGAGGGCCCACGTGTATTGTTGTGTGTCTCGCGACATCTGCCTCTTGTTTGTAGAATTGACATACTTTTATAAAGTTTGCATCATAATAACATAACATTCATATCATTTACTGTATACCAGTATATAAGAATATACTTCTTACGAAAGAATCTTTTCTTCATAATTTATATAATATTCAATATATTCTTTGGAAGAGGTATTAAATATTATTTTTGTAAGTTGTAACTGTTTTACGTATATCCGTAACCTCGTTAGTTAATCTCTCCAAATTCAAATTGCATAGATTGATGTAACGTATTCGTTGAACGCACTTTTAGAGATAAGAATGTCATGTTTTGATAGAAATTCATCACATATCATGGAACTTTGTGAAATAGAATAATACAGTTTAGTGGATGATAATTGTGCTTTAACTTTGAATAAAGTCTATATAGTAAGTATGTACGTGCACGAAGGATTAATCAAGTAACATTGTTTCTGTATGATTTAGATGTAATTAATGAAAGTTTATGACGATTGCATACTGATCATGTTTAATAATATTATGCTATGAGGAATATTTTTATTTTTGTTATATTGGTAAGAAAATATTCTTAATATAATTATTGTATGACAACTTTCAAATAATTTTATTAAGATAATATTATTTTGTTTTAGTGTTTATCTTTTGCATTAGCATATGAAAATAAATTATTGCATTATATAACTGATGAAGTTACAGGAAGTTCATATAAATATTATAGTTTATCATATGACGGTTTCATTAAAATAATATTAATATCTGAGTGAGTAAGACATTAATTTGTATTTATGAGTACATATCATATGTATAGTTTGTCACTTTTTACACTTCATACTCCTCAGAATTGGAGATGCAGATTTATATGTTTCACAAATAACAACCAAACCAACATTTGATCCAGATCAAAATTGCCTGCAATCTATTACATGTGGAGACGATATCATTCTGATCCCTGATAGGTATACTAATAAACTTTTTTGTATAAATAGATATGCATATAAATTTTAATGTACATATTTTGTATCAGTTTTAAAAGACCTGTTAGCATAGGGATTTATGGACATCCATCACATGAGAACAGTACATATGTTCTTTTAGTATATCAAACAAGTGATACTGAGCATGTATCTTATGAGAAGAGTTCTCAAGCAGATGGCAATGAAGTATGTGCTAAAATATAGAAATATTGTAACTACACAATATAATTTGCATACAACTATTAAACATAATTTTTTTATTTCAGAATCAAGGATCATCGGTATCAACGTTTATTATGTGGTATCTGCTAGATATACTTTTCCATATATTATTTTAATTTATGTTGTGACCTAGCATACCATTTTGATTAATCATGTTAGAATACGAGAACCAAATATTTTTGGAAATACTCCATGAAGATGGATTAGTTATTACTGCAAAGTAATTGTACTTTTTGTGTATTATGTGAAATATATATCATTTTGTTTCTTATAAAATTTTTATTACTTCAATCTAGGGGACTTGGTTTAGAAACTGTATTTGCGAATGTAATAAGAGCATATTTAGATCCAGGAAACTTGGTTATAGTTATAGGAACTACAAACCACGATGAACAATATTTCACTGATTTCTTAAAAAGCCAAGGGCTTGCACAATTACCACGTGTTGGAAACGAATGTACTTCCGACGAAAGGTTTAAATTTTAACCTTTTCAAATAGAATTCGTTATTTTAATTATTTTGCATTATTATTCGCTAAATAATTTTAGGGAAATAATGTATATGGAAGGTGGCGTGTTATTTATGTCGGGTCCAGTTCTTGTAATGGATCTATTAAAAAAAAGAATTCCACTGAATTTAGTTACTGGAATACTTGTGTACAGAGCACATAATATTTGCAGTTCATATCAAGAAGCATTTGCTCTTCGTTTATACAGACAGAATAATAAAGTAAGTGGCAAAAGGGAGCAAATTCTTATTACAATAAGCATTCCCACCATTAATTTGCTAAATTCTTCTAGACCGGCTTTATTAAAGCTTTTACAAATTCATCATTAGCATTTACTGTTGGATTTTCGAAAATAGAACGTGTCATGAAGGCTTTATTTGTCAAAAAGTTGTATTTGTGGCCGCGATTTCATACACTTGTAAATAACAGTTTAGAAAAACACAAGGTAATATAAGATTATTGTAAGACAAAGAATTGATGATGCTTCATGAATTTTATTATAAAAGTGTATTTCAATTCAGCCAGATGTGATTGAATTACATGTAAAGATAACACCAAAAATGTTGAACATTCAAATATCTTTGCTCGATGTAATGAACTATGTTATAAAAGAACTAAAAAAACTTAATAAATATGTAAGTATGGAATTCTATTAAGTTAAAATTTTTAATTATTTTATAATAAATCCTCTTTTCTTTCTCATCTACAGTTAGATTTAGATGAGTTAACTGCTGAAAATGCAATAGCTAAAAAATTTCATAAACAGTTGCAATTGCAATTAGATCCTATTTGGCATCAACTTAGTTCTACTTCTAAACAGTTATTATCTGATTTAAAAACATTACGTGCTCTTCTCGCGTAAGTATTTTGGAAATTAAGAAGTAAATTAAAAATTCTTATCCTTCACAGTTACGCAAATCTTGATTTTTAGCTGTTTGACATATGAAGATTGCGTATCGTTTTATGCAATGTTGAATCGTTTACGTACCATGGAATATGCTGTAAAAAATAGTGGCTGGCTAATGTTGGAATCAGTAGATACCTTATTTAAAAATGCGAAAAACCGAGTGTACAATGAAAAAAATGGTACGTTTGTCAAAAATCACCACTTTTGTTTGCAATTTAATATCACATTTGCGTATATATAGAATTGAAACCTGAAATTACACCGAAATGGGCCGCTTTGACAGAAGTATTACTCGAAATTCAAAATGAGAGTAAAAAAAGAAAGCATAGTGTTGATGTTGAAAAAGTTCTTATTTTAGTGAGTGATCGCAATATCTGTTACCAACTAAGAAATTACTTAACCATGGGTGCTAATGAATATTTACTTTATGAAGCAATGAAAAAGCTGTCTTCTAAAGATATACAGAAAATAAGGTATGTAAGCATTTGAAGAGCTTATGTAATTCTTATTGTGTATTCTAATTTTTTACGTACTTATACATTTAATATAACAGTGAAGAAAGTACAGAGAATGAGAATGCTGAAAAAAATGAAGATAATGCTGATGAAGAGCAGGATGCTTATATATTAACATTATCACAAAAAGTTAAAGAAGGATCTCAATCTAATTCAACAGATCAAGGAGATAAACAACAAATTTTGTTCGAAGACTGTTCACAAGTAAAATTATGCACATACCATATAGCGCAATATATTCACAATTAAAAGAATTCAATATCTTATTATCTTTTTTAGATGGCCGATTTAGATTTAAGTACTGTAAGTACAGACACGCCTGTTATTTTAATACAATCTCTAAAAAAGAGTGGAGATCCAATGGCACTGCAACGTACTTTAGCAGAACATTTGCCAAATAACATTGTTATGTACGTTGCAGATATTTCTGCAGTACGTCAAATTGAAGTATGTGCAAAATGAAAGAAATCTTCTATTTAATTTAGTGATATTGCTGTCGTTTTTAAGTACATGAATTATTTATGTAGGTTTATCAAAATAACAATCCATCGGTAGATTTAAAAGTATATTTTTTAATTTATGGAGGTTCCGTGGAGGAACAGGAATATCTTACATCTTTAAGACGAGAAAAAGAAGCGTTCCACAGATTGATCAATACTAAAACTGTATGTTGCTATGTTTAAAATTAATTTTAAATTGTCAACTATAGTGCAATATTCTTATTTTAGACAATGGTTATTCCTGAGGATCAAGACGGAAAAACGGAAGATCTTGCAGAGCAGTCAGATCTAGATAATGTAGATACACGTAAAGGAGGATTACCAAAACCTGAAGTCCCTGATGTTGTCATAGTTGATATGAGAGAATTTAGGAGTGAATTACCGTCAATGTTGTACGCGCGAGGCATGAAAATTGAACCTGTAACATTACAGGTCAATAATAATTTAGAATAATCTAAAAAGAGAATTCGCAGTAAGGATCTAATTAAGAAGATTTTTTATTTGGCTCTACAGATCGGAGATTATATTTTGTCGCCAGACATTTGCGTGGAAAGAAAAAGTATTTCTGATTTAATTGGATCGTTAAATAATGGCAGATTATACAATCAAGCTATCGCCATGACCAGGCATTATAGTAAACCAATGCTTTTAATAGAATTCGATGCGAATAAGCCATTTTGTTTCCAGGTACATAGGTATTTTTAATATAACACAATTTTGTATAAATCCATTGACAAATAAGATTTATTATTGCAGGGTAATTACTATGCTAGTAAAGATGTACAAAATACACTAATTACTTCAAAACTCCAGCTTTTGACTCTACATTTTCCTCGTTTGAAATTAGTATGGTCTCCTGGACCCCATGCAACAGCACAATTATTTGAGGAATTAAAAGTAATGCATTTTTTTTAGTATATAAAATGTATATATTATATACAAGAGAATGAGATTAAAGCTCGTTTTACTAATACTTAATAAATTTCATTTGTAGCAAGGGAAAGACCAACCAGATCCAATTAAAGCTGCACAAATTGGAGTTGAAGAGAATAAAGAATTGACAATGGGAAAATATAATCCACGTATTCAAGATTTTGTTGCAAAATTACCCGGAATTACAACTAAAAATCTACATTTAGTATTAAACAAAGGACAGTCGTTAGATCATCTTATTACACTTACGAAAGTATGTACTATAAATTGAGCTGTGAAAATTAAATAATCTATTAATAATTTCTTTGCAGGAAGAACTTACAGAACTGCTTCAAAATAGGCATGAAGCACAAATGTTATACACTGCAATTCATGAAAAATGTTCTCCGATTGAAGACAAATCGAAGGCTATTAATAGAAAATTTACATCTAGTAAAGGGCGTGGAAAAAGACTGTTTACTAAAATCAAACAATAACATTTTGTATAAATATAAAATAAAATACATTATTCCACAAATATCAGTAGTTTAGTGTGTCACTTTTGTATTGAACATAGAACGTGTGTAAACTTCGTTTTTACATAAAATATCACGTACAGTAAAATATGTTTTTGTGAAAATGTAGTGAGATTTTGTATGATCGAGTTAATAAAGTTTATTTTTTTATTCTTGTATTTCAAATGTTCTTATTAAACAGTATATAGCTTTGTTTAATATTTCTTCTAATAACGACATACAACCTTCTGAGACCAGTATTTTGTTGGCATGTTTTGCTTCAAATATTCTGTAATTACGAATATTAGTTAAAACTGATATTATTGGAACCCTTTAGTTGAATATTGTATCACGTACTTTGCTATTTTTGCTCTACCGCATTCGAGAGAAATTAGAGATCTGCTTTCAGCCGTTTTTATAGCTTTTAATGCTATCTCATTGGCAATTTCTAATATCTTGTATATTGTTTCGTGAGTGTTCATTGAAAGATGTCGTAGACAGAACTAAGTGAAGCATAAAATTATGTGACCATTACTATTAAACCAAGATTTTAATTTGAAATCTTAAACTCATACTTCATTTTGTTCGTGATGAAAAATATATGCTAAAATGATTTTAGAAATTTCTGAAACAAACATCATTTTGTCTTGTTCAGTCATTACATCCGGTTGGAAATTCAGTAATAGATCGTGAAGCTTAGCAGTTGTCGTATCATATTTAGCCATGCCTACTAAATGAACTTTTTCATAAACGCGCATATCCATTCCTGTGAAATTTCATGTTAACATTTATACATAGAGTGGTCTTCAAAAAACTAAATGACTTCAAAGTTTTTTAAATTGTTATTAGCTGTATCTAAGAGTTGAGTCTTCTAACGATTAAACAAAAATTGGGTTGACTGATCTAATATTAAGAAAATTATTCCGTTTTGATATATGTCCGAATATTAATGAGGACCATCATATATATAACTTGGATTTCTAAAGAAGTTACAGTGGTAATAATAGTATCATATGAAGCTTTTATCGTTAAATACCTGACACATAATCACTTGTGAGACAATAAAGACCATTCAAATATTTTTCAGTTATCAAAAGTGATTCCGTATCACGAATATCTATTTTATCCACGATATTATCAAGCCATGGTGTGATAGAATAATAATCGAATATAGTATCCCTAAGTGGTATGTACTCTCCTTCCATACATGGCTGTTCAGGTTTCTGAAATAGTAATAATTGAATATTACTTAGACAAAATTTCTAAGCGTAGCTAATTTTAATTGTACTGACGAGAAAGATCTGTCTCTCGGTCTCCATTTTAATTTCATCACCAAAACTATATTCTCCGCATTGCAAAATTTTTATATCTTTAGTAGGTTGTTCATGATACGTTGGCATGTTTTCAAACGTCTCTAAAGTTTTAGCACCATCTACAAGTTGCCTTTAATCGAAGTGTAAATCATGTTTTAATTTTTCATACTCCATTATACAAAGATGCTTGGTATCAATGTACTCCATTTACCCAAAAGCAACATAAAAATGATCCATCCATGGATTTGACTTCAAGCACACAATAAACTGAGACTCATTATAATGTTTGCCATTATTTGCTATAGAAAGAATTCCTCTACGGTCGTGAGGAATGCAATAAGATTCATCAGATATTATATTATCATATATTACAGAATTTTTATCAACTTCAGAAATATCGAATCCTAAAAAAAGGAATTAAACAATAGAAATAATGTTAGAACGAAACAAGAAATATAATTTGAATAAAATTTCATTATACCTCCACACTGAATCCATCCATTTTTTACAATACGATGCAAGTGTTTATTAACATAATGCACATCTTTATAACATCCATTGATTTCATCATATCCAGTACAAAGATTTAAAAAATGTTGGCAAGTTAATGGTAACAAATCAGAATATAGCTAAATTAGTAGAATATTTTCAGATATAAGAACATTCGTACAAAACTAAATTTTATTACATATAAATCGTTACCATAAATACAAATGAGCCAACAATAAATTCATCCACAGAAAACGTGAAATAAACATACTTCCTCTGAAATTTAAAAGCAGTGCATTAACGTATAATTTCTTTATTATTAATGACTATATTGCAGTATGTACTAGAAAGTATTGTGGCATGATAGAATATTAAAGGATTGGAGACAATAAAAACCAATAGAAGTTAAATGGGAATGTAAAATACATATGCGAGATAAAAGAAATAAATATATAATTAAGAAAAAACAATAATAATTAAAATAT